TAAAATATTTGATTAAGATTTAAAATTATGATTTTTTTTAACTGTTTTAATGACATTGTCTTAAATTCTTAATATTAACAAAATTAAATTGAAAGCAAAACTATTTATATCCTTAATGTTATTGAAAATGTTATATACTAATCTATTATTCGAAAATGTTATTGAAAATGATATATCATTGAAATTTTTTTTATATAAATCGAATTTATAAAGAAAATGTTATTTTGAATTATAGTAATCATATAGTTCGAAAATGTTATTGAAAATGTTATATAAATTTTTTTGGGAAGTACATCCTATAAGTCGTAACGTTGATTTTGTAAGAAATTAAAATATATGCCACTAGAGATCTCTAATCATAATCATTTTAATTCCATGTCACTAATATTAATCAATTCATTAAAAACCGGGTCAATGGGTCATACGGGTTTAAAGATATTAAAAAGATTACCTAATATATAGGTGGCCAATCACGAATATAACAAACATGGATTTTGTTTAGATACAAATAATTTTTAATCATACAACAAATTTAGTTTAGATTTTAAAATATTTTCTTAACTAAACTATACTAATTAATTATGATTAGTATATATGGAAGAAACAAAACAAGAAAACCAAAGTATCCTTTACTCACATTTAAAAATTTAACAATATAATTTAAATACTATTGTTTCTATATTTTAAAACGGTAAACCTCAAACATAATAATTGTACACTATATAATATATAAATATAAAAGTTGTACATTTTAAAAATACAAAACATTCAGCCATATATATAGTTAATCTATTAAACAAATTACAATTTGATTTTCTTAAAAATAATATAGACCCGCGGTGTACCGCGGGTTAAAATCTAGTAGTTCTATATTAGGACTATTTACTAATATATTAGGACTATATTAAATTAATATAACTATTTATATTAGGACATTTCATTACTAATATAGAAAAATTTATTAATTTAACTATTTATATTATATTATAATTATAAATAATAAGATGTCCTAAATACTTCTTATTTTTTAATCGGTACTCACATTTTGAATGTCTATTTTCAGAAATGAATTGCTTTTTATTTTAAGTAAAACCTTTCAATTTGATATTTTTTTAACTCTTATTTTCTTTACTCTAATAAATAATTGTAACTCTTAAAAATATTTGTTGTACCATTAAAATATTGATAAGATTCTTTTTTTCTATCTCTAACTATATTAAACTGTTTACTCATATGTTAAAATATAATTATCTAATTTATATTTATCCAATCTCGATTCAAAACTTTCATAGTTTAAGTTGTATATATATATTTTTTTCTCATAATATTTCATTTAATTTTTGTCAATTATTATTTTTATTTAATGTGTGAATTAATTTTAGTTTTAATGTTTGTTTTATTAAATAAAATATGTGGAGCCCACACAAAATTAAAATAGGATGAGTTGGATGATGATGTGGACACCCTAGATGGAGAGACAACTCTCCCATTATATATATAGATTAGTAATGTTTTCTAAATTAAAAAAGTGGTGCTTTGTTTTAAGAAAAATGAATACCTAAATATTAAATATTAATCAGTGCTTTGGAAATTAACATAGATTGAAAAAAACTAAGGTGATTTGAATTAAAACAAAAAAATATCCTAAAAATCACAAATACAAATAAAATAATATTATGGAATAATAAAACTGTTTAATAATAGGGAGACTCACAAAAATGCCCATTTTTCAATACCCCTTTTCAAAAATGCCCCCTTTGGTTGTCCATTTTTAAAAATACCCCTTTTTATGTACAAAATGACTAAATTACCCTTCTTTTAATAAAAGATATCACAAATATATAAGGAAAACATGAGAATGTGCACACATCAAAATTACAAATTTGATTTTGTAAAAACTTGTAAAACCTTTAAAATACCTTGTAAAATTTTCCCGTAAAAAATTTTCCAAACAAAAAATTTTTTTTGCGGGAATAATGATTCCGCAATTTTTTTGGCGTTAAAATTTTGGCGGGAAAATTTTTGGCGGGAAAAATTTACAAAGTATTTTAAAGGTTTTTTACAGGGTATTTATAAGGTTTTACAATGTATTTTAAAAGGTTTTACAACGTATTTATAAGGTATTTATAAGATATTATAAGATTTTACAAGCTATTTTATAAGGTTTTACAAGTTTTTTATAAGGTTTTATAAGGTATTTATAACTTGTAAAACCTTATAAGTACCTTGTAAAACCTTTTAAAATACATTGTAAAACCTTACAAAACACTTGTAAATACTCTGTAAAACCTTTAAAATACCTTGTAAAATTTTCCGCCAAAAAAATTTCGCCAAAAAATTGCGGAATCACTTTTCCCGCAAAAACATTTTTTTGGCGGGAAAAATTTTTACGGGAAAATTTTACAAGGTATTTTAAAGGTTTTTACAAGTGTTTTGGCGGGAAAATTGCGGGATCACTTTTCCCGCCAAAAAATATTTTGTATTTTGTGGACCTAATTTTGTTTCAAATAAGGGTAAAATGGTCATTAATAATTAAAAGAGGGCAAACTTAAAAATGGACTCTCAAAGGGGGCATTTTTGAAAAAGAGTATTGAAAAAGGGGTATTTTTAACAATTACTCTTAATAATAATATATGAGAATGCTATTTGGAAATTAGAATAGTAATGGTAGATTGAAGAGTTTTTCATTAGAAATAAGAAGGATTTTGTTTATTTAAAGGGGTGATTTAGGTGAATAACCCAAAAAAAAAGAAAAATTAGTTTTTTAGAAAGAAGGTAGAGAGAGATAGGAAGAGAAAGAGAGTGAATAGGGGGTTAGAGGTTAGATATTTAATTTTGTTGTTTTTTTAGGTTATCTAGTGCAATTTCTCTATTTAAAAAGTAAATGTATTTTAAATTAGAATATTTTTTATGAGTTCGTAAGTCTTACATTTTAGAAAAGTCAACATTAAGAATACAATCTGGAATCATAATATACGTTAAGTTATATATGTAGAAAGAGAATTTTAAAATTTTCAAATGGCCAAGATAAAGTGCAAAATTTTACGTTGAAATTCTATGTTTGTGAGTAGGAATGAGTCCATATATGAGATTTGTTGTCTATAAAGCAATTTTAGATGCTCTAAAACATGGCCAAAAAATCTTATAACAAACATCTTCCCAGATTTTTGTTTCTGATGTTCACTTTAATAAAAAGATCATGAAACTTATAAAGAAATTGAGTAGTAAAAGATATATATGAAGGAGAAAATAGATACGATATAAGGAGAAAAAAGAGTATATATCGGGAGATGACGAGTGAATCATAGAAGATAACGAGAAAAATTGTAGTAAAATGTGTGAGAAATTTTTTGCTACTTTGAAAAGATAATGCACATGAGTAAAGTAAAATATTTTAAAATTTAATTGATTATATTTATATTTAAAGAATAAAAGTTTTATATTAAATCCCGCGCAACGCGCGGGTACACAATCTAGTAAAGTAAATATGGAAGAATCCGAATCAAAGATTTCCGGATCAAAATCAATTAAAACCCGACCCGATTAGAAAGAGCAAAAATGTACTTCAAAAATGTTAAGTAGATTTATTTTAAGCTTTGAGTTTACAGAGAGTTGAAAATAAGAACAGAAATGGAGGAAGAAAGTATTGCGCCATATTTGGCGGAGAGGAACAGAGATTAAGGTTGCGAATGGTGAGTGGAATTTAGGGTCAACCGCAGTGTGGGTGAACTGTGGTTTTGTCACCATTCATCTAATAAAAGGTGGTACAAAAAGACAGTCCAATTAAATAATAAAAAAAGAAAACCCATACTTACTGTATAAGCGGGCCAGATTTTGTGAAGAAAGAAGATTGAAATGTCTTGAACAGTAAAACTACCTGTGGTACGTGGAGTGTTTGCTGTGCTTTTATGATTTTTTTTTGAGAGACTCACAAAAATGCCCCTTTTTCAATACCCCTTTTCAAAAATGCCTCCTTTGGCTGTCCATTTTTAAAAATACCCCTTTTTATGTACAAAATGACTAAATTACCCTTCTTTTAATAAAAGATATCACAAATATATAAGGAAATATAACAAAATTAGCTCCACAAAATACAAAATATTTTTTGGCGGGAAAAGTGATCCCACAATTTTTCCCACCAAAACACTTGTAAAAACTTGTAAAACCTTTAAAATACCTTGTAAAATTTTTCCGTAAAATTTTTTCCCGCCAAAAATTTTTTTTTGCAGGAAAAGTGATTCCGCAATTTTTTTGGCGTTAAATTTTTGGCGGGAAAAATTTACAAGGTATTTTAAAGGTTTTTTACAGGGTATTTATAAGGTTTTACAATGTATTTTAAAAGGTTTTACAACGTATTTATAAGATATTATAAGATTTTACAAGCTATTTTATAAGGTTTTACAAGTTATAAGGTTTTACAAGTTTTTTATAAGGTTTTACAAGGTATAAGTACCTTGTAAAACCTTTTAAAATACATTGTAAAACCTTACAAAACACTTGTAAATACTCTGTTAAACCTTTAAAATACCTTGTAAATTTTTTCCGCCAAAAATTTTCCCGCCAAAAAAATTGCGGAATCACTTTTCCCGCAAAAAAAAAATTTTGGCGGGAAAATTTTTTGGCGGGAAAAAATTTTACGGGAAAATTTTACAAGGTATTTTAAAGGTTTTTACAAGTGTTTTGGCGGGAAAATTGCGGGATCACTTTTCCCGCCAAAAAATATTTTGTATTTTGTGGACCTAATTTTGTTTCAAATAAGGGTAAAATGGTCATTAAAAATTAAAAGAGGGCAAACTTAAAAATGGACTCTCAAAGGGGGCATTTTTGAAAAGGGGTATTGAAAAAGGGGCATTTTTAACAATTTCTCTTTTTTTTTTTATTAATAAAAAAATGAAATGATAATCAGCAACAAAAAAAAACGTGATATACCAACCTTCTTTTTTTACCTACTTAAGTGTTAAGGGTTCTAATATATAAAGAAATCCTCTAAAGTATGTACTTGAAGAACAAACAATCAAAAAAACAAAAAGGCACGATTTTTTTCTCCTCTGCAGTAGCTTGGAGCTCAGGTTTGTTTTTCATCCCTAACTTTTTTTTTTTTTTGCAAATTATGAAGATGAAGAAGATATTACAACATAAAAAATAAATACAATAAAAACAAAAGGATAAAGATATAGATCATAGTTAGAAAAACAGTTTAAATTTAAAAACTATTTTGATTTGTAATACTAATGTGTTAAATTTTTAAAAAATTATTCTATATGAACTAATTTAATTAACTACAATATTTTAGATAAATTTTATAAACCACACAATTTTATAAGTAAATTAGTTTAATTAAATATATTGGTTTGTAAGGAATATGCTATTTTATTATGTTACAAGTTATTATAAAAATTTTAAATAATAAAAATCAATATGCTAACTTTATTTTTAACCAGTCGATTGTAGAAATGGCATCAAATCGTCGAGGAAACACAAATTCTTTCGAGGAAGGCAACACAAGTGCTCATAATCAAACAACAGCACGGATAATTTTTTTATTATTGTAATTAATTTAGAATTTATAATGTATTCGTATTTTTTTTATTAAAATTATAAATATATGTTCTTAAAATCGTAGAGTGAAGCTAATTTTAAATGGACTTATCAACGAAAAAGAAGACTCATTGAATTGTATGACGAAGCACTAGCCATGAATAATTACTCTCTTAAAGATCCGACGCCTTATGGTAGAGAGTTTATCACTCGAAAGTTCAATGAAGAATTCAATATGAATGTTAGCTATAAGTTTTTCAAAGAAAAACTTGATAATTTCAAAAAGAAGTATAAGAAGTGGAAAGCTCTTATGAAAACGTCCACTGGCATTTCAGTTGATCCGACAACATCTATGATATCTGCATCTGAACAATGGTGGAAAGACCATGAAGCGGTAATTAATTATAATTTATCTCATTACCAAAAATATTTGTTTAACTAATATAGATGTATAAAAAATTATATATTTAAAAAATTTATAATTTTTTTAACAGGGGTGTAGAATAATAAAATCACTGCATCGAAAACCATGGGAAGTGATGGAGAAACATTTGGTCTCGACTACAAGAAGATAGTGCTGCTTGTCTACAGTTGCTACGGATGTCACTTGATGCGTTCACAACATTGTGTCGTATTCTACAAACCAATTATGGATTACAACCAACACTGAATGTAAGCATCGAAGAGAGTATTGCTATATTTCTCCGGATATGTGGGCACAATGAAGTTCAACGAGATGTTGGATTACGGTTTGGACGAAATCAAGAAACAGTGAAGAGAAAGTTTTTTGAAGTTCTGACAGCTACTGAATTACTTGCTTGTGATTATATCAAAACTCCAACAACACAAGAACTACATAGGATTCCTGAACGGCTGCAGTTGGATGACAGATATGGGCGATATTTTACTGGATTTGTTCGAGCTATGGATGGGGTTCATGTATGCGTTAATGTAAAACCCGCATTGCAAGGAATGTATTGGAATCGACATGATAGAACATCTTTTAACATCATGGCAATATGTAATCTAAATATGTTATTCACATATGTTTGGAATGGAGCACCTGGATCATGTCATGATACAACAGTTCTTGCAATTGCACAAGAAAATGATCCTGAATTTCCAATGCCTCCGACAGACAAGTACTATGTTGTGGATTCTGGCTATCCAAATAAAAAAGGATTTTTGGCTCCGTACAGATCTTCACGAAACAGGATAGTAAGGTATCATATGTCACAATTTAACACTAATCATCCCCCGAGGAATAAACATGAATTGTTTAATAGATGACATGCTTCTTTACGGTCTGTTATTGAGAGGACATTTGGTGTTTGGAAGAAAAAGTGGAGGATTCTTTGTGAGTTCCCTAGATATAATATTGAAGTGCAAAAACGAGTGGTAGTTGCTACAATGGGACTACATAATTTTATTAGAATTTCAAATTTTCTAGATGAAGATTTCACTGAAAGAATGGGACACACTGAGAATAGCAACACAGACGGTGCAACTGATCAAGATGATATGGAAGCAGCAGAGGTAGAAGATGGAGATGTAATGGCAAACATCAGAGAATATATTGCAAATAAACTATGGCAAGATAAAAATACTGGATAGTAGAAGTTTCAGTCATTTTCATGTGTTATTTTGTATTTATTTCATGTATAATATTTCATGTATAACATATACAAAACATAATTATATTTATCTTTTAATAAATTAAAGTTCGATATAATTACATCTGTCCTGAAAATATATACATAATATTCTTATAATTAATGAAGCAATCATTTTTATTTTTAGTACAAAATTGTATATTTGATATATATTAAAATAATTTTCAGTTTTAAAAAGATAATTATATTTTATTAATATTCTTTAATCTCTTTTTATTTTATTTAAAATATTAACTTTTAATATTTTGTAATTATTTTTACTACTGAAACCGCTTTTCTATTATTTCACCATTCAACATAGATTTTGAACTGCTTGATCCGCACCTTTTCTACTTGATCCGCCTAATACGCTTGATCCACAGTTGATCTGCATGAACCGCTTGATCTGCCTGATCCGTACCGCTTGATCCGCTTGCACCATTCAAAACCTAAGAGGAATAGAGGCGGAGGTAGTTAAACATCATAGGGATTATATGACACTTATGAAATTTAGAAATTTGGTTAATTTTTGGCTAAAGTTTTTTAAATTAACACCAATAAAAAGATAAATTGACTCATATGATTAACTTTTTCTACATTTTGACCCCCGTAAATACAAGTTCTAGCTCCGCCACTGAAGAGGAATAGAGATTATTATTGATTGATGATAAAAATTATGGAAGTCCTAATAGGAAACGTTATTTTAAATACAACCTTCAACTTAAAACGACATTATTGAATAAAGTGAAGTCTCTCCCTTGACTAGACTCTCTCCTTTGTCTTTAGCTCCTTTGTCTTTAGCCACGTTTGTTTAGTATCTTTCTCGTAAACTTCTCCATAGCTTTAGCCTTTCTACCTCCAGACCTCATCTTTCTTCTCATACAAGCTAAAGATACCCTGAGTCTATCAATACTCCCCCTTAGAAGACTGACCTTGTCCTCAAGGTCAAAATGCGAAAATTGCTGCACGAGCGTTGTCAATGGTTCCCAAGTTGATTCAGTACTCGAGAGTCCTACCCACTGAACCAGGACTTCTGCTCTTTCTCCTTGCTCTGCCTTTTTTGATGTCAAGCAGTTTCTCTGGTTCCGTTGCCCACTCCAGGAACGATGTCATAATCTTTGGTAAGTCCTGAGGAGTGTATGAGGCTGGCATTGCCACTTTCAACTGTGATATGTGGAACACATAGTGAATTTTGCTGTGCTCGGGCAACTTGAGCTTGTAAGCCACTCGTCCCACACTACTTAACACTTGATAAGGCCCAAAGTAACGTTGCGACAGCTTCTCGTTCTTCCTGTGAGCCATAGAACTCTATCTGTAGGGTCTTAGCTTCAAATAGACACAATCCCCCACCGCCAACTCCACATCTCTCCGGTGTCTGTTGGCTGATTTTTGTATTCTGTTCTGGGCAATTTTCAGATTCTCTCTTAGCTCCCCCAAGATATTGTCTCTGTCTTTTAATAATTATTCCACATTTACATTCGGAGTAAGAGTGTCTCCATACCTGAGTAGAGGAGGAGGTGATCTACCATAGACAGCCATAAAAGGTGTGGTTTTAATGGTTGTATGGTATGATATATTGTACCAATACTCAGCCCATGGTAGCCATTATATCCACGATGTAGGTCTTCTCCCCGTGAAACATCTCAGATAGGACTCCAAACACCTATTGACCACTTCTGTTTTACCGTCTATCTGTGGATGGTAGGCGGTGCTTTTTTACAGTGAAAAACCTTGCAACTTGGACAGTTCTGTCCAGAAGTGGCTCAGAAATTTTTTATCCCTGTCAGATACCATTGTGGCAGGAAATCCATGGAGCTTGATGACATCTCTAATGAAGGCTTCAGCTTCGGATTTGGCAGTGTGGGTGCTTTAATGGGATGAAATGCTCATATTTACTGAGCCTACCCACCACAACTAAGATAGAGTTGAACCACTTAGAACTTGGTAAGCCTTCAATGAAGTTCATGCTTATATCAGTCTATATTAGTTAGGTATTGGAAGAGGAGATAGGAGGCCTCAGGGCCGGCCCTAAAAAAAAAGGGGTCAAATACGAAACAGAAAACGGGGGCCCCTATGTCGCATCTTAAAACCATAATCAAACCATAGTCAAAATGGGGCAGTATATGATATAGAGTATTGACTAAAAATGTGGAGACTGAAGAACAGTAGAAGCGTTGAAGAAAAGAGAAACAGAGAAGAGGAAGATACTCAAAGGTCGTGGGGAGAGAAAAAGAGGTATAATGAATTAAAGTTGAGTTTTTGTTTTATTGGTTGACACGGTGACACCACATAAATTTTGTTTATTTTCAGTTTTTTAAATGTCTTTTTTCCATATCATCATTTACGTTTATGGTGTGAATATTCTTGCTATAAAACACATGCACGATTTATAAAGATGTATATATGTATGTATATAAATTTTTTCTTAAATGGAGGCCCCTTAAAAATGGTGGCCCAAAGCGAATGTTTCTCCCTGCTCTATTCAGGGCCGGCACTGGGAGGCCTGGAGGTGATAAACCTGGCAGCCGGATATGAATTTCACCACATCTTTTCGCATGCCTCTCCAGCAGGGGCGGACCCACGCCTACTAGGGAGGTGGCAGCTGCCACCAGTAAAAAAAAAAAATATATTAGATTTTAGTGTAAAAATATTATATATAAATAATTGCCACCACAAAAAAACAAAACCATGCCCCCATCAATTGGATGTTTGAAAAAAAAGGTTATACTCATGGTCCCACCATCTTTTGTTTTACTTTTTTTTAAAAGGCCAAAAGCCCGGAGAATCATCTCTCAGGCCCTTTGACCAGAAAAAAAATTCAGCAATACCCTTCCCGAAATTGCCTATTTATTTTATTTATTTTTTAAATAGAAAATGTGGCTAAATACCTTCATACCCTCAAAAAACCTTGAAAACTACAGACCCAACCAATGTTATCCCCACCCAACCATCACAAAACCCACATAATTCGGATCTCTCTCTCCCTTTTGAAACGGCACTTAGAAAAAACAAAGGAACGAAGAAAATCAAATCGTTTTTTTCCCCTCGTTTCATTCTCTTCTTCTTTTTCGATAGTGGAGTACAACCGTGGATAACCTGAGATTGTGTCTTCTTTGTGTAAGTCGAAATTGCTATTCAATTTCGCTGTGATTTCGTGTTGTCGATTGGATTTTGTTTGAGTAGGTTAGAATCCGATTAGGTTAGAATCCGATTGGCGTTGTTAATCGTTTTTGTTGTTGGGTTTGAACAGGATTCGAAATGCGTACAAAAAACCCAAGCTATCGTGAAGAACCAAATCCAACAGATGTAATGGTAGAAGCACAAGAGACTCGTGGAGATGAACCCGAAGAAACCGAGTCTAATCCGCCGTCTAATCCTCAGGATTCAACGGTATGTCTAGGTTATTGATCTAAAATTCCTAAATCAGAGAGTACAACTAAGTATGACTTAGGGTTTCTTGTTCTAAAAATCGCAAATCAAAAAGTACAACTTAGTATGACTTAGTGTATCTTGAACTATAATTAATTGAATCAAAATGTACAACTTAGTATAACTTAGTGTATGTTGATCTATTTTACAGGAACCCGAGGAATAAATCGAAGCTATGCAACCTCTAAATATGTACTTCGGTCCCGAGGAGTATACAAAACCATTTAAGATTTCTGCGAAGTGTTATATCGCACAGACAGTGAAGCTATTAGGGACTATTCTCAAACCCGATGAGTTGGATTGGTTCCTCTTGCACCCCCAGTTCAAGCATTTCTTCCATGTGCCTAAAAACTCAAATCATAAGTTGACGGGTATGTGGATGCTCTTGCTTCGCACAGCGTGTTTAGAGAAGAAAAAAGAATGCTGGTTCATTATTAATGGGGTCCCAATCCGCTATTCTCTCAGAGAAATGGCACTCATGTCTGGATTAAACTGTCGTGAATATCCACCTTTCATGGAAGGATTGGGGAGTTTAGAATTTGCTGGGAAGTACTTTGGGGTTGGTGCAACAGTAACATATGCAAAAGTCAAAGCGAAGCTGCTGTCAATGAAGGAACCTGGGACAGACCGCTTGAAGATGGCTGTGCTATTCTTCCTATCTAGCATAATCATAGGGAAGAAAAAAGGAGGGAAGCAAGCACCCTCTGTAGAACCTTTCTTTCTTAGAGTGGTGGATGATCTTGAAGAATGTAAGACATTCCCTTGGGGTCGCTTAGCGTTTGATGAGAACATGAAAGACATCTTTCATCTGATGAACCACTTTGATGGAGTTGTGGGGGCACCATGGGTCTTTCCTAGTTTTGTAATTCCTTTGGAGGTAATTATGTTTTGAAAATTGTACATATTGGTATAACTTGCTTCATATAAGGTATAACTTGCTTCTGTTTTATGCAGTTTCTTGCGTTTGAGGCAATTCCTGTTCTTAAGAACACTTTCAGAGAAGATGTTAGTAATGTACGTGCATACCGTAGGTGTCCTCGGATGTGTAGGATGAAATATAAACCCAGCAAAATGAAAGGCTTTTCTTTGACAGAAATTTATCATTGTCTTGGTACAACTAAGGTAATTAGTATAACTTGCTTGAAATTGTACAAATCAGTATAACTTGCTTCAGAATTCATCATCATCACTCTTTTTTGTATTTTATAGGAGATTCATAGTATCTTGCCTCCATCTTCTCGTGAGACACATCTTCTAGGCCGTATCATGGAAGCAGATAATGGATGGAATTATGCGGATGATCCAATAGCTGATGGTTGGAGCAAGCTTTCAATTGACCAAGAGAAGTCAATATTGTTTGAGGATCTTTATAACCAAGATGTGGCTACCCGGGGAATTGAGGTAGGTGATGTGGAACTTGATAATGTGGATCCGGATGATGTGGCTACGGATGATGTGGAACATGATAATGTGGATCCGGATGATATGGAACATGATAATGTGGATCAAGATGATGTGGCTCCAAATAATTTGGTTGAGCTAGGAGCTATGTTTATTCAACTAGAAGACCGGATGAACAAAGGGTTTAAGGAAATCATGGAGAAGATTGATGGCTTGGATGGCAGAGTAAAATCTGTGGAATCTTATGTGAATTGGGAAAGAGGTGCAGAACAAGTTTTTCCTATTTTTAATGAAGTAACAGAGGTAGAGATGGAAAGGGAGAAGGAAAAGGCTGAGAGGGAACAAGCTGAGAAAGAGAAGGCTGAAAGGGAGAAGGAAAAGGCTGAGAGGGAACAAGCAGAGAAAGAGAAGGCTGAAAGGGAGAAGGAGAAGGCTGAGAGGGAACAAGCTGATTTGGAAAAGGCTGATGAGGGAACAAGCTGAGAAGGAAAAAGCTGAGAAGGAGAATGCAGAGAGGGAGAATGCTGAGAAGGAGAAGGGAGACAATGCTGAGAAGGAGAAGGCTGAGAAGGAGATGGCTGAGAAGGAGAAGGCAGAGAAGGAGAAGGCAGAGAAGGAGAAGGAGAGGGTAGAGAAGGAGAGGGCTGAGAAGGAGAGGGCTGAGAAAGAGAGGGTAGAGAAGGAGAGGGCTGAGAAGGAGAAGGCTGAGAAGGAGTTGGCTGAGAAGGAGAAGGCTGAGAAGGAGAGGGTAGAGAAGGAGAAGGCTGAGAAGGAGAAGGCTGAGAAAGAGATGGCTGAGAAAGAGAAGGCTGAGAAAGAGAAGGCTGAGGCTGAGAAGGCAGTGGCTGAGAAGGTGGAGGGTGAGAAAGAAAAGGCTGTGAATGATCAAGAGGAGAAGGTAGAGGGTGAAAGGCAAATTTCAATTCAGTACGAGAGAAAATCGAGAAAGAGAAATGCAGAAGTACAAGGTGAAGAAGAAGTTGCAGGAGAGGCTCAACATAATAAAAAGGTGAAGATTATAGGCAAGAAAGGGAAGAAGGGGTCTACTGTGGTCATTCGGAGTTCTATAATGACAAGGCAGAAGAAGGAGCAGAAGAAGGATTAAGGTTGTTTATGAGTCATATGTGAACTCTTTGTGTTGTTGGTTTTTTGTTAAGTTCGAGTCATTTTGGTTTGTCTAACTAGGTACACCTGGTTTTTATTTAAGTACAACTTGATCGGAATGTTTGATGAACTCTTTCTGTTGCTTAGTTTTATGTTGAATTTATGAGTGAACACTTTCTATTGCTTAGTTTTATGTTGAATTTATGAGTGAACACATGGTGTTTGTTTAAGTACAACTTGTCTAAGTAGATACTCGTTGAGACAAACTTTTAAGTAGATTACACAATGGGAAATAGATTAAGGGAGACAATAAAAGTATATTACAACAAGAACACAACTACAGAAAACGATTAAAGTAGGGAAATAGATTAAGGGAGACAAATCCAAGAACAAGGTTTACTTAGTTGTACCATTTTACTAGACATACTACAAGAACACAACTACAGAAAACAATTATCATCTTTTTATTAAGTTCCTTCATATCTTGTATCTTCTCCATCTTCATCAGTCTAACTTCTTCTTCAAGAACATCTACTTGAAAATCCAATTGTTCTATCTCATCCACCAATGCTTCATCCACCCACTTGAAACATGGTTATCATTCTCAAGCTACATTAAGAAATTGGTAAAATAATAGGAACCATTACACAATAGTAGGAAACGTTAATCAAACTAACACCCATAATCTTTACCTTCATTTGTGCCGCATACGCACACCTGTAATAGCGACGATACGGATTTGGTACTGATCTAGAAATTTTTTGAACAATTGGGGACTCACAATGACACTTTTTCGGAATTCCAGGAACCCTTACTCGGTTAGAGGAGATCGAAGCTCCTGAATTGCAGCTCATTCTCAATTAGACTGAAATTGAAGAAAAACCCTAGAGAAAACCTATGAAACGAGGAAGAAGGAGGAGAAGGAGAGGAGAAGGAGAGGGATGGGAAGGGATAATGGGCTGATTCATTAAAATGGATAATGGGCTGATCCATTAAAAAGGTGGGAAGAGAGGGATTTTTCAAATTTTAAATTTGCCTCAGTTTTAAAAAACACGTGATACACATTGGCCAGGGAGAATCACACGTGGCGCCGCCAAAGGACACTAGTTGTACTGGAGTATCAAGTTGTACCATTTTTACAAGTTGTTCTTTTCGGATTTTTTGATTCAAATTAGTTATACCCTAATTACAAGTAAAAAATTTTAGTTGTACACATGATTGAAGTTAATTTTGGTACATTAACAACATATTCATGCAATAATAAGCGTTAAAACATTATTATCTTAGCGTTCGACATTTTATGTGGTTTACATTAACAAAGTGACCCTTAAAGTGTAAGGTGTTTCATGAGAAACCAAGAATATTCTCACCATTTTTTTTTTATATATTAATAATAACTAATGTTATAAAAGGTTATAAAAACATTGTTTAATATTTTTATCTATACAATATTTATATATTTTTGTAATAATAATATTTTAAAACAAGTTTTTAATAATATTTTAAACAAGTTTATAATAATATTCTAAATTGTTTATACTTGAAATCATTATAATAATAATATTCCATTTGAGATCCCTTAAAGTTAACTCTCTGTTCACGTTCTTACAGCTCAGTTTCACATTTTGGGACAAATGATATATACAATATTCATGGTCAGCCAACGGGTACACCTGCATTACTGCCTTGATGAGGCTTTGATTTCTATCAGAACAAAACACCAGTTCAGGACAATCAGGTACAACTGATTTCAACTTGCTAAAAAACCAAGTCCAACTTGCATCTTTCTCACCGTCAACTACACCAAATGCAATCGGGTAATGGTGATGATCTGGATCTTGAGCTGTAGCAATGATAAGAACTCCACCATATACAGTTTTAATACTGGTTGCATCCACAATGATCACCTTTCTCATGGCCTTGAAGCCTTCAATGCATGCTCCCAATGCGAAGAATAAATACTTAAACCTCTTATCTTCATCCAATTCAACATATGAAACTGTACCTTGATTCATCTTCTCCAACATGTGCATATAAGAATACACCATCTTATAACTGTCATCTGGAGTACCACGTAGATCATAAGCAGCTAGCTTTTTCCCTCTATTTGCCGTGGAGTATGACACTTTTACACCGGCTTTTAGCTGGACCAAAGGAATGAGATTTTTGGGAGTTGGAGTGTCTATCAAACATGGAAAATCCTCACGTAAAACAGATGCAACTATATGTTGTGTGCCTCTCCTTTTGTTTCTCATTGTACTTGTTTCTGACCGTAAGCACGTATGAATCTTGTTGTATGTTCTGACCGAGAAACTGTCTGAGTTCCCATCCTTCGCAGCTCGTAAAGACCACTTGCAACCCTTATCTACTTCTGAACATTTAACCACAAACAACATGGTATCCGACTTCACTATAATAAACTCAAAACAGTTCTTATGTGCAGTTTTGTCAACTAAATCTTTAACTGCTTGCTTGTTTTCAAATTCTTGACGTATGGTCACATTCATACCATCTTCCCATTCACGCTTTACAACAGGTGTAGCTTCAGCACCTTCACACACATCACTGTTATCTACCACTGCTCGTTCTTCGGATCTTTCTTCATAAAGAATAATATTGTCATCTCTCGCTTGCCTATTTTCCACCACCTCATCACGTTGAGATGACTCCCTTTCATCAAGAGTCATGTTCTCATCTGTCTCTCTACTACTTGAAATCAGCTTCTCATTACTTGCACAACCTACACTCCCTCGATCTTCTCTACCACACGGTTGCTCTTGTCCCTGATTTCCCTCGTTTATGACTTCCACATGCAAAACTTGGAATTGATCTTCATTCATTTTCAAATAACACATAACATCATCATCATCAGATATATATATTGGCCTTTTAGGATCAACTAGTTCTGGAACATAACTAAGTTTGAGCTCAGTGGTAGTTTCATCAACCTTCGCTTTTCTGCATATTTTGTTCACTAATGCAGAATAAGTAACCTCCTCAATAGATGTTTCCATTCTAAGAGATTGATGAACTTGTTCTCTTGATTTCCATCTTGGTTCATTTCCCCTTCTAACATAGTATCCCCCATAATAAAAAAATATGATTTTTCGACGATTATTATTCATTGTCCCTGAAATAGAAAAAAAAAACTCACATTAAAATCGTCCAACTGGTACCAAGTTGTACCAAAAAGTCCCAGAAAATAGTCTAACTTGTAACAGTTGTACTATATAAGTTATACCAAATACTACTGGTTGTACCGTATAAGTTATACCAAATACTACTGGTTGTACCCGTACCAATTGTACCAATTACTACTAGTTGTACTACATCCACAAAATCACTACTCCAGTAATTTGAGACTATTCCCGACTTGGTTCGATTGAAGTGTTACAATGCGTACATTATCAATAGAATTTGACCCATATCGAGTAGAAGAACAAATAAGACTGAATCTAATAAGCATTCAAGATAAATCTTAGAACTCTAGACAAAAATCCCTAATTGAATACACAACATCCTATATAATTCACGAGTTTTAAACAACTTAAATTTAACAATGGGAATCAAATTGGACAAATTACCTCAATGCCAGACTGGTTGCGTTGATGGAGGAGCTCTCTGTCGAGTTTCTAAGCTCTTCTTCTGGGGGAGAATTTGGGGAGGACCGACGAAGAAGATGAGGAATGAATGGGAGAGGGAGGGAGTGTGGAGTGTATTGGTGGGGGCCACATGTTTTTTTTTCTTCTTTTTAATTAATTTCGATTTATTAAATCAGGGGCAAAAAGGGGAAAATGTGGTCAACCCAGAGTCAAAGGGTACTAAGAACATAGAAGGGGATTGTTGAATTGTTTTTCTGGTCAAAGGGCCTGAGAGATGATTATCCCAAAAGCCCATATCACTCATACTTTATAAATAAAAGCCTTATTTGTACACTAAAACTAATTGACTTTACTAATTAAAACCCTAAAACGTTTGTATCCAATTTTTGTCTGTTCTCTCTTTCTCCTCCTGATATTTTTGCAGACGAGAATTCTCTGGTAAGACTTTTTTTATTTGTTTCTTTATATCTCTTTATTATATATAATCATAAGAGTTTAAAATTCTACAATTAGAAATTTGAGGGCAAATTTGTTTCTTCTAATTGTAGAGGTTTAGTTGTTCTCGATGTGATTTGATAATATTTTACACATAACACATGTAGCATGTTTTTATAATAGTTAAGTGTTTAGTTTTTTAAAACAGTTGTAATTTTGTTTTTAATTTTCCAAAATAATCAGTAAAAAACGAATGAAACATTAGAAGTGTATAACTGTGTTTTCAATTGGTAAATATAAGTTTACTCCATGGTTATGTTTTTATAGAATTTTGTTACATAATTCAATGAATATAAAATTCATAACTCATAAGATATAAATCAATGTATTATTTTGCTGTTTTCTTATGTTATTTATTTTAGTGTGATGTGATGCCTTTTATTATAGGCATTTGTGAGATGTTTTGGTGTTTTCATATGACAGTTTTATGTTATTTTATTTTTTTATTTTTGACCAAGTGACAGTTTTATGTTTTTTTGATATCTTAATATTTGATTTTTTTGGTTATATTTTTGCCCCCACTAAATAAATTTTCTAGATCCGCCACTACTCTCCAGTAAACTTCACTGGTTAATCTTTTGAATGTCTTCAGCGCTCCTTCGTGACCACCTAGTGCTTTTGTGTGGAACTGCTCAAGTAGCTTTGGAATGAAGGGAGATCCTACCTGAATCACCAAACAACCCTTCATGTATAGTAACCCATCCACCAGAGTAAAATCAGAATTGGTGGAGTTACCTTGCTCAAGATCCCTGTGCAGCTGTCCTAGTTCCTTATCTGCCCTCGTCTCTTTTTTTAGTGATGATTTATCCAATGTGACGGGAGATAGCAAAGCGAATTGCGACAATTCTTCTCCATGGGATCTCCTTGATAAGGCATCTGCTACCTTATTGTCAGTCCCATGCTTATATCCAATTCTATATTGCAATCCTATTAGCTTTGCTGCCCATCATTGTAGTATTGTAGACACAACATTTTGGTCTAGCAGGTGTTTAAGGCTTGTTTGATCTGTCTTGATTACAAACTTTTTCCCTGCCAGATAATGTTTCCATTTAGTGACTGCTTTTACGATCACCAATAACTCTCTCTCGTTAACAGATTTGATTCTCCCTTGGCTAGGAAAGGCTTGGCTGAGGAAAGCCACTGATCTCCTGTTCTGAGACAATATAGCTCCCACCCCTAATCCTGAAGCATCAGTTTTCACCGTAAATTCTTGTTGGAAGTCGGGAAGAGCTAGTAGTGGTAGATTGGTGACTGCTTACTTCAAGTCTTGGAACGCGTTGGTTGCCTCATCACTCCAAGTGAATCCTTTTTTCTTCAATAGATCAGTCAGAGGACTTGCAATGCGACCATATTTTCCACAATTCTATGGTAGTAGCCTGTTAAACCAAGACACCCTCTAAGCTCTGTTACTGATTTTGGCACAGGCCAGCTTAGCATTGCAATAACCTTTTCAAGATCAGCTGTAACTACTTTAGCTGATATAATATGTCCCAGGTAAGCTATCTCCTTGTTTCCAAATGAACACTTTTGAGCATTATTTGCATAGAATTTGTGCAGCTGTAGCAATTGTAGGACCATTTCCAGATGCTTGACATGGGACTCCATATTGGGGTTGTAGACCAAGATATCATCGAAGAATACTAAGATGAATCGACGTAGATACGGCCTAAATAGGTCATTCATAATGCACTTAAATGTTGATGGTGCATTCGTTAGGCCAAAAGGCATAACTAGGAATTCTAGTGACCTTGAATGCAGTCTTCTCCACATCATTAGCTCTCATTCATATCTGGTGGTAGCCAGACTTCAGGTCTAATTTGGAGAACACTACAGCTCCCTTTAACTCATCCAACAATTCTTCAATCACAGGAATAGGATATCAGTCAGATATGGTTGCTTTATTCAATGCTTTGTAGTCGACACAGAATCTCCATCTGCCATCCTTCTTTTTGATAAGTAAAACTAGGCTGGAGTAGGGGCTGACACTAGGGCGTATGATTTGTGTGTCTAATTTCCATGATGAACTTTTTAATTCTATTTTTCTATTCATAAGAGTATCGATAAGGACACGATAAGTAAAACTAGGCTGGAGTAGGGGCTGACACTAGGGCGTATGATTTGTGTGTCTAATTTCCATGATGAACTTTTTAATTCTATTTTTCTATTCATAAGAGTATCGATAAGGACACAAATTGATTGGAGAGTACCCCTCTTGTAAAGTAATGGCATGATCCCTGTTTCTAGTGAGAGGGTAATGCATGTGGCATCTAGAAATCTGCATGATACTGATCCAATATCGTCTGAATGGCTGGAACCACTGTTTGTTATCCTTGTTGCTCTTGGTTTTCAAAGAGTGAAGCTAACTCCGGCAAGTAAGTTTTACCTGTGTATTTAATCTCCCTCTCCATGGAATGAAGAGATACATGCTCTCTACATAGTTCTGGATCGCCATGTATTGTTACCCAAGTGTTACCAATCTGCCAACTAAGTCGGAGACGTCCCCAATTGGTTTTGGTATCTCCCAGTTTGGCTAACCACAAAAATCCTAGTACCTGGTCTAGGTCTCGCAGATCAAACAACAAGAATTCTTCTATAAACTCGATCCCTTGAATTTCTAGTGGCACATTCACGCATTTGCCTTTACTTCTGATGATCCGACTGCCGCCTACTCTTACTCTGAATCCTTGGGTTTCAGTAATAGACCAAACCATTTGGTGAACCAACCTTTCATTTATAAAATTGGTGGTGACACCAAAGTCAACCAAAACCACCACATTAGCACACCCTATGTACCCTCTTAGCTTCAAAGATCTTTCTCTAGTGATATCTGACATTGACCACAAGGTTAGAGTCACAAATCCATCCTTTTCACCTTGATCCTCTGTCTCCTGCTGTTTAGCTGATTCCTCACCTACATGATCTTCTAGTTCCTCATCCTCAGCCACTGCCAAGCTTTTCAATATTTGCTGCTTGCAACGATGATCAGGAAACCATTTGTCTCCACAATTGCGACAAGGATTGGTGTTTCTGACTTCTCCCTTACCCGAGGTCCCACTCCCTGAAGGACGTTTTGGATCCCTTCTAGGACTATACAGACGTTTAGATTGAGCTCTGTCATTGTTTTTTGGGACGGACTGAATCGAATTGGCTGGCAAGGAAGGTCTAGGCTGAGCCCTTACTTGATAGCTATGAATGTCTCATATTTGAGACTCGATAAGCCTTGCTATCTCCACTATGTCAGTGAGATTCACCGGTCGACATCTCACGACCTGATCCTTGAGGCTTCTTTGCAAGCCATGGAGGAACGCAGATTCCAGAATGTCAAAAGCGACATGAGGCAGCTCCACTGTTAGCTCCTCAAACCTGTCACGATACTCATCAACACTGCTCACATGTCTGATGTTCAACAGATGATCAACCGCTGAACTACCTCGACTAGGTCAAAACCGTGTCTTAAACTTATCTTGGAAGTCCTTCCAAGTATAGATGCCTTCTCTTTCTTTTGAACAACGCCACCAAGTGACTGCAGCTCTAGTTAAGGAAGATATTACCTTCTCTAACTTGTCAGCATCAGGATTGTTGTGGGACCTGAAGCACTGCTCAACGCAGAAAAATCAATCATCTGGGTTGCCTCCTTCATTCGGTGGTAGCTCTAGAGGTCGTGTAGAGAGCTCTGCCCATTGACGCGGCAAAAAACTCTGTTGCTCCAAAGGCTGTGGTTGAAAACACGGTTCCATATGATGAACCTACAGATCTGGGTTTAGAAAGGGTAAAATAGCTTGCAGTTGTCGTCCTGAACTCATCGATAGTGACGCTTGAAACTGATTACTCGGTAAAGGGCTTGCAAACACTAATAGAGTGGAATCTCAGCCATCTCGACTGGTCCATAGATCTGGTTCCTTAAGATCTGGTTCAGCGCTTCACGAACATAAAGCAGCTCCTTTTCGACATTCTTCACACGAGAATCCAGCGACGGAGCTGGTGGAGGAGTCTCGTTCGGGTTTGAGCTGAGTTTTGATGATTCTTCACGAGAATCGGTGGCGACACGCTTTGGATTAGCAAAAGCCATCGCTTACTCAAACAACGAAAGCACCAATGATAAGCTCTAAGCTTACGGAGAGTTGAAAATAAGAAAAGAAATGGAGGGAAAGAAGTATTGTGCCGTATTCGGTGGAGAAGAAGAGAGATTAAAAGGAATAGAGATTATTATTATTATTAGTTTTATTTTTTGATAACTCAGGTGATCCTAAAGGCTTCTTAGGCCCAAAGAGTAATCCTGGGGCCCGGGGAAACCATGTTAAAATTCGAACCTTGGTGGCCAATGCTACTCGAACCCAGATGGCAGAGACTTTTCTCTCCTTTACCACTGGACCAAGACGACTTGGTTGATAGAGATTATTATTGATTGATGATAAAAGTTATGAAAGCCCTACTAGAAAACCTTCCTTTAAATACAACCTTCAACTAAAACGACAATACTTAGTCTAAACGACATTATTGATAAAGTGAAGCCTCTCCCTTGACTAGAGTCTCTCCTTTGTCTTTAGCCACTTTTGTTAAGTATCTTTCTAATAAATTTCTCCATAGCTTTAACCTTTCTGCCTCCAGACCTTATCTTCTTTCTCATACAAGCTAAACTTACCATGAGTTTATCAATTTATGTATTTGAAAAATATATATTTCAAATGTAAAATTATTGTGGAGTTGAGATCATATTTTGGAGAAAGATGTGTTTATTGTTTGCTTATTATTTTGCTAGTTTATATATTGTATTGATAGTCGTATAGTGTTTGACTGTACTTTTGAGCATATAGAGTTGTTGTAATTCGTGATTTTCCTTGGTGGTGTGTTTGAACCCGATAGGTTTGCTTGAAGATAATCTAGTTCGTACTAAGTTTCAGTGGGAGTTGGTTCACTACCATGGAGACCGAGAGCGACACGACGGTGTTATAGGAAAACGTTATTCGAAAGATAACTTTCTGTGTGTATTGCTAATTCGTGTAGTTTGAGTGGTTACAAATGAAGAATCATGTTCAGAGTATGGTGGGAATGATAGAGATCACATGGCCGTAGGATTGTTATTGCATGCATGTTTGATTATTATTGTTGTTATTGTTTTCGCTTGTGCTTAATCATTGTATTCTCTAATTATTTGTTGCATGTTACTATGTTGATTGTTGGGGGTATTTTAGGGTGATAACTTATTGAATAAAAATTATATTTACTAAAATGGAAGTTCTTTATTCGTGAAGTGTATTGATTAATGATAAGAGGTTATGTTCGAAACAACACAACTTTCGATCATGGTAAAGGGTTAGCAAGCCTAATACTATGTTCAAGAGGGATGGTACCAAGGATGGATCGACTAAGATGATGGATTTGTTTGATAACTCGCCAAGATGGATTTGTACCAGGGATGGTACCTGGAAGCATGGTTTTATCAACGTAATGCTTCCAGGTCTTTAGATGTCTAGTATAGTTTAGGGGTGTTACGCGCATGGCATGGTGGAAAGGGACTTGGACGTGGTTGCTTCACTTCGGACGCGAGTGGACCAGCCCCGGCTCTAACAATCGAGAAGCCTTAGGGTGACTTACAAAAGGGGCCTTTTCAAGCATGCTAAAAACAAAAACCATTTCATATAATCATGTCTTAAGCTCCATGTCTTCATCTATCAGATTGCTTTATATTGCGTCATATATCATGCATCCTTCTTCCGTTGGATCTAAGACAACAAAACAAAACACAATAGTTATTTCGAAATAAAGAAACGATTTTGACGAGCTCTAGACGACGCAAACTCATGAATGACAATTTCAAAGTATATGTTTTTAACAAACTTTTTTCAATGCATAGAATAGCTAGACCATCCAAGCTTTGTTGAGACATAGAGGACCTCATATAATTTTTTAATAACTTCAATTTTAAGAAGCTTCTCTCGGCTGAAGCTACCGTCACGGGTGTTGTTAATAAGATTCGATAAGCAATTGAAACATTTGGATAACCTACATTTTCTATAAACTCAAGCACTTCACTAGGTGTCATTGACACTTGGGATAAAGTCATTTGCAAAACTTTTAATTCTGAAAAAGTCATTAAAATCAACATCCGAGACATTCTCATGAGAAAATGTTTTGTGAAAATTAATGCAATGCTCTTTTAATTCACTTTCATCAAGTGATTTTAATTTCAATGAATCAAACAAAAATCCAAATACACTTTTAAAAGTCATCATTTGTTCAAATCTATTCTTTACCGAAGAAATTGCCATATCCACAACAACCAAAAAATAATTGATTCTAAAATCATCTTCAACCGATAATGCTTCTTCATCATGATCATTCTCATCAAAGTGTTTTTTTTTCTAAAGACACGACGCCTACTTGGAAATATAGGATCAACATTCATATCATGAGCAAGACCTTGAGCTACTTTCAAACAAGAACTAAACCCTTCATCTCAATACTTTTCAAAATATAAGATCATACCTTCTAATTGTTTTATACCACTATCAATGCATATCGATTTGGATTGTAAGTTTTTGCTTACCGTGTTCATGACAAACAAAATTTCATACCAAGTAAAAACTCATAATTCTCAAGCGAATTTACTAAACTTTCCGTTTCACTTTTTGTTATGGCATCATCACATGATTTATATAGATTGATTAAAGCTAGTCTCAATTGAGGAGCTTGAAACCTAATAGCTTTGACACTTTTTATTCGGCTTTTCCATCGAGTATTAGAAAAATATTTCATAGTTAAGTAAGGAACATGATCAAGCAAAATTTTCCATCTTTTTGTAGAGCTAGAAAATAATACATATATTCGTTGCAATGCTCCAAAAAAAGAAATAGTTTTCACACAAGAATGAGCCATATCACTTACTACAAGATTTAGACTATGGCAAGCACAAGGCATATATAATGCTTTTGAGTTAATGTCAAGCAATCTCTTTTGAACCGCTTGATGCTTTCTTTTCATATTAGACCCATTATCATAACATTGACCTCTCACATTTCTAACATTAAGATCTAGAGATTTTAGCGCATCAATTATTCTTTCAAAAATATCTAATCCGGATGTATCGTCTATGATAAGAAACTCTAAAAAGTACTCTTCTACTTTGAACTTCTTCTCTAAAATCCTTACGCATCGTACTATTAAAGTCATTTGTTCTTGGTGGCTTATATTCGAGGTACAATCAAGAATGATAGAAAAATATTTGGCCTCTCTAATGACTTTCTTAATAAAAAATTAAACTTTATGAGCCAAAAGAGAGATAAATTCATTTTGAATAGTATTACCAAGATAATGATGATGTATTTCATGAGTGTGAATGCGCCTTATATGTTATTGCATTATTACATCAAATTCGGCTATAGATTCAATCATACCTAAGTAATTACCATTACTATTTTGGTAAAGTTTTTCATTTGACCCACGAAAAGCTAAATTTTGTTTAGCAAGACACTTCACAACCGCAATCATTCTAATCAAAACAAGCCTCCAGCTTTCTTTCTCTTTTATAATTTCTCTTTGTAATTCTTTATCAATAGTTTGATTTTTCTCTAATCTAACTACCATTTTATTCCAAGTTTTCATGTTAGCCATATGTTCTCTATTTCTCTCATGCTTTTTAAGTCTCTCGCTAAGATGCTTCCAATTATTTGATCCATCATTTGCTAGAACACTTAAGTAACCACGAGATTTAAACAACTTGCAACAAAAACAATAAACTTTATTCACATGGTTCGAATAAACTAACCACTTTCTATCAAAAGTTTCTCCATTACTCAATTTTCTAGAATAATATTGATATGAGAAATGTCTATAATACTTATCAAGAGGAAAAGTCAAATTTAATTCTCTTTTAGGTCCACATGCAACTAACTTATCTCTCGTTTTATTATCAAGATTATATCTAGGATCAAAAGTATCAAAATGAAATCTTTGTTGGTCATGACCATTCAAACTTTCAAGTAAAGATGCATTTGACACATTATCATGCTCACTCAATCTATTAGGATCATTATCAATACTCAAGAAAAAAATTTCTTGTTCATGAACATTCAAACTTTCAAATGCATTTGGAACATTATGATTGGAACCATCATTTAAATCATTCACGTTTTCAGTTTGTTGATAAACGCTAGCATTATCACCTAGTTTTTTAACAAATTTATCCATAGCCCCTATGTTTTAAATAGCGCAAGACGAGGTAAGGCGCTGGGGGCTTGGTTTGAGCCTGGAGCCTTTGCGTTGTAGCCTCTGAGCCTTGGCCGTATGAGGCGCAACTACAAAATAAAACAGTAGGTTAGATATATTCATTGATTAATAAGCATCTTTAGAACAATTTGTGAGTCTGAAACGAGATAAGAAAGAAAATCCAACAAAAGCTTAAACCATGAGTCTAAAAAAGATAAATGATAATAAAGAAAATCCAATCCAACAAAAGCTCAACCATGAGTCTGAAACTCTGAAACATAAAAATGAAAACAAACGGAATCCAATCCAACTAAAGCTAAAACCATGAGAGTCGGGATCTCTAAAAATCTGTCTCATCATCATCGTCTCCTACGAAATCTTCTTCAATTTCATTATCCTCATCTCCTCCTACGAAATCCTCTTCAATTTCATCATCCTCGTCAATCAAAGCCATTGGAGTTGGAGCCATCCTCTGAGATGCTCTTGGAGTTGGAGTGGAGCATGTGGCCGTATTCTTCCCTTTCGCAGTTCTACTTGAAGATTGTGTTGATCCTCTTTTAGCTCTAGTAAGGTAGTTAGACTCATTAGCTCCAGATACTCTGCTTACCATTTCCCATGTCAAATCACTGTCATCAAAAACCAGTTCTCTAAACTCATCAGACTCCTCATCCATTCTTCCAACCAACTACTCATTACAATCATCAATATTTTGTAAGCTGATAGGATCAATTGTGTCTTTCAACTTGTACCGACGTGTTAAAGTGCGATTGTACTTAACAAACACCATGTCATTAAGCCGCTCTTGAGCCAATCGGTTCCTTTTCTTGGTATGGAGATGTGAAAACACACTCCAATTTCTCTCACAACCAGTCACACTACATGTGAGACTAAGAATTTTTATTGCAAAGTCTCGAAGTGTTGGTGTTGTGCCTCCATACGAAGACCACCACTCAGCTGGTGATTTCGTAGTCCTTTGCCTTATTGCCATTGGAATCCCAAAGAGTCCAGAAGCATGTTTAAACTGCTCCAATTCGGCGGATATCTTATCTATGAGTTGCAGCATCAGGAACCAACCTCTCAATGGTGCTGTATAGACCTATCGATACCTCTTCACAATCCACTCCAGCCCTTGCTTTATACTGAAATTCCGGATTCAAGCAGTAGCCAACAGCATGCAAAGGATGATGGAGTTGACAATTCCAGCGCCTATCGATGATTTCAAATGCTTCCTTGTATATTTCTTCTCTACCCTTGAAGGTGTTAGCAATGGACTCTTTAGTCCTATCTATTGCTTCATAGATGCATCCCATAGCTGGTTTTTTCTCTCCATCAACCAACCTAAGCACCTTAACTAGAGGACCCGTCAACTGTAGTGTATATAGCACGCTATGGCAGAAGCTGTCTTGCAAAATGATCCTCTTCACATTCCTTGCTCCTGCTTCCTTTCGCCACTTGGAATCTAACCAATCTTGAGAATTCACAAAACTCCTCAAGTTATTTTTCTGCCTATGATACTGCGCTAGTGTTATGAAAGACGTAGCTAACCGAGTTACAGCCGGTCTATGCAGATTTCCTTGGTTTGTGAATTTCCTCATCATATTCACAAGAGAACTGTGACCATAGATATATCCATTCATGAAAATGCAGTTCTTTATTACAGTCTTTACTTGAGGAATCTTTCCTATATCCTCAAGGATGAGGTATATGCAATGAGCAGCACAAGGCGTCCAATACAAAGGAGGTCGTTTCGCCATTAGCAGTTCGCTTACAACATAAACGAAACACAAAACAGAGTTAGAGGTAGCCATAATATGAAAAAAAACAGAACTCATAAAGCTAAAACTAAAGGATTAAAAACTCACTAGCTTTCACGTAGTTGGATGCGTTGTCAGTTACCACTTGGACAACATTAGCTTCCCCAACTTCTTCCACCATACGATCCAGGTGATCAAACAACATGTTAGCATCTTTCACAACTTGTGGAAACATCAACTGATTTAATGAAACCTGATCCCTTTGGCGAGTTAACAAGAAAGTTGACAATGTCCTTTTATATAACAGAATCTCGCCATCCGTCTGACATTATTGAACAGCCTCTAGTTCCCCATTCTTCCTTGTGCTCCACCAACTTTTTCTCTGTTGCTTTGACTTTTTTCTTCAACAAAGGTACTCTTAGTTCATACATGGTTGGTGGCTTAAAGCCGGTACCATATTGACCAACTAACTCTAATGCCTCTTTAAAACTATCAAAGTTAACTACATTAAAGGGCAACCCTGCATCATAGAACCACCTCACAATAGCACCACATGCTCTATCCCTAAGTTCCTTATCACATACTCCAAAAATATGTTTTCTGTTGTCTTTTCTTCCTTTCAATACATCGAGAGGAGTTGGACAAACAAACTTGTCCATTGGACCTTTGTGTTTCTTCACAGGTGGCTGTCATCTTTTACTAGTCAGACCTTCAACTTCTTCTTCTTCTTCATAATCATAATCGTCATATGAAGTGCCTGGTGGTGGCATCATTTGAGTGGTGGCATCATTTGAGTGGTGGCTTTAATTTCAGCTTTTTTAAGCATGAAATCTTTTATTTCTTCCGTCACATTAGGAGGAACTAGAGAACATTGAGTAACATTCCTAAAGCCTCCAACAATATGTTGCTTTGCACGTTGAACTCCACCATTTGTGACTTTCTTACAATAAATACACGTCCAGCTACCTTATTTTCCAGGAGCAGGAACTGCATGTTTCTTGGGAAGATCTGATCCAGACATGATGAGTTGATGAAGAAAATAGAATTGGGAGAATAGAAAGTATAGAGAAGAGACAAGAGCGTGGAGAATATGAAAGACAGAGGCGGGGAGAATATGAAAAGAAAGAGGCTCACGACGTCAGTGTTTATAAAAAGTTTTTAGGTTTTTTACATTTAATTTACATGCCATATTTTTGAAAACAGAAAAAGAAAGTAAATATCGATGGTTTTGCATTATTATCTTTCTCTTTCTAAGGCGCAGAGCGAGTTGAGGCGTGCATCACGTCCAGGCGTCCCGGAGCGAGAGCCTCTAGGAGATAGCCTAGTCTCATAAGTTAAAGGCGATGATCCCTTAACCTCACCGTGCCTTGAGCCTAGGCGAGGCCTAGGCGCGCTTTTTAAAACACAGCATAGCCCCTCTTTGGGATTGAATAAACAATTCATCTTTTTTTTCTTTTCTTTACTTTGTCATTTCCACACAAAACCATGATCAAAATTCAATTTTATTAAAAGATAGAACTTGGATTAACAAAGACGAGGCAGTGAGCGGTGGCAATTACAATTAACAAGAATTGATGTCGCCAAAAACCAAGTGGAAGCACCTAGAACAATAAACAATTTATAAAGATACGATTAAAAATAAATTAAAATATATACTAAGTATTCGAAGAAAAACAAAATTTAGATCTAGTTAACGTGTGTTCTTTTTGCTTGATTTAAACCAAAATCAAACAAGGACAAAAAATTATCTATTATACACAAGGTTTCTTATATCAATTTCGAACTGAAGTTTTATAAATCGAAGATACCCACTAGCTAATACAAAATAAAACCGAGAATCTAAAAATTCTGAATTATAAATTTGCAAATCATCCAAAACTTCCAAAGTTATAATTAGAAACAAGTTTGTTACAGTTACAGCCACAAGATGATTGAGCTTCGATTCTGGTTCTCTTTTTGAAGTTAGAGTTTATTGAGAAAGCAAAAAAACACAGATTCGGGATTTCGTATGACCGTTAGGGTTAGAGGAGAGAGATGAGTAATGCAAAAAGTCCCTTTTCATCTCCTTAATTATTCCTTTTTGCCCAAAAAAAAAAATTAATCCTAAATTAATTGTCTAACATAAAACGCTTTAAAAATTAAAAATATTTTAGGCTTTTTATTTGTTGGGCCAGCGGCGGTCACACCTCCGCCCCACCTATGTAAGTCGGGCCTGGACTGGATATGATTTCCTTCAGGAGTAAAAAATTAAATATATATTTAGATAATCAATTTGGGCCAATTCCACATCGAGGCGAATCATGACTCTTATAACTTTTCATAGACTTAAAGAACTCTTGATTTGGTGCTCGGTAAGATTTTCAATGGATGTCAAAATTTTGATGTTTCAATATTCCCCAAAAACTTGTAAAAACTTTGACACGACAAATAACTGAAAACGACCATTTGAAGATACTTATTTCACTTGAAATTCTTATTAAAAACCTACAAAAAGCATAGTAAAAATGGGTAAAAATACTATGTTATCAATAAATTTAGCCTCGAATATAATTAAAAATAAAATATTACTTTTCATATGCATTGCATCCTCTTAATAATTTTTATTTTATTTTTAACAAACATTTTTATTTATTTTATTATACTAATGTTGCAAAAAAAAAAAAAAAAAAAAAAAAAACTGACTATATGGTTTGGGGTGGTTTTGTATATTTCAATTCAATCGTAGTATATAAATTTTAATAATCTAATCTCTCTGCTCTTTTTTAATAAAAATAATATTAAATTAGATTCATGAAAAATAAAGTTTTGGTACATCAAATGCAGAGTTTGCTGAAATATTTTTGAAAATAAAGATACATGGAAAGGCCTCTAGATGCAAACCATGCTTAGATCTTGGTTCTAGTTAGGTCTGGGCATTCAGATTTCAGATCGGATTCAGATCGGATATATTCGGATTCTGATAATTTGGGTATGAGAGCTAATTATCCATTCGGATCTATGACTTTTCGGTTCTGATATATTCGGATTCGGATAATTTGAGTAAGAGAGTTTATTATCCGTTCGGATTTTATGAGTCATCGGTTCGGTTTTGGTTTGGATAGATATCTGATTTGGATCGGTTTTCTGGGAAAAAAAAAACTAAAAAAATTATTCATTTAAATAAAAATTGAATATTTATGATTTCAACAAATATAACAAAAAAATTTCTGAAATCTACGTTATTTAGGATATTTTTGTTATTTGCTATACAATTACAATTAAATATAACTAATATTTTTGGATATATAATTTTATTCCGGTTTTCGGATATCCTTTCGGTTTTTGATTCGGATCGGATTCGATTAAGATAATTCAGATAAAAAATTCATTATCCGTTCGAGTTTTGGGACTATTCGGTTCGGATTCGGTTTCGGATTTTCGGATATCCTTTCACTCTCTCTCTCTCTCTCTATATATATATATATATATGATTTTATTACTTCGATGCCATATGTCACACATCTAATAATATGGAAATTAATTTTCTATATTGTATCTCGTTAACAAATAAGCGTAAGTAAAAAGAATTCTGTTTTATTTTACTAATACATAAATATGAATACGAAAATATAAACTACCTCACAATTGAACAGTGCAAATACCTATTTGAACTCTTACAATTTTTTAACTAAACCCTAAACTCTCTCTCTCTCTCTCTCTCTCTCTCTATATATATATATATATATATATATATATGATTTTATTATTTCGACGCCATATGTCACACATCTAATAATATGCAAATTAATTTTCTATATTGTATCTCGTTAACAAATAAGCGTTTCTAAAAAAAATTCTGTTTTATTTTACTAATACATAAATATGAATACGAAAATATAAATTACCTCACAATTGAACGGTGCAAATACCTATTTGAACTCTTACAATTTTTTAACTCGTGGAATATAGTCATGGATTACAAGGCAACTGGTCCGGTTTAATATGGGGTTGCCATCTATTATTTTTTAGATTATCATTCAGACATTTAGACGATTAAATATAGAAATATTAATAGAATATGAGTTTGCAACTTAACATGCCAACTAGTTAAAGATGTCAAGACGATTTCGAGAATTTAACTTGATTATTTATGAAGAATTTGATTGGATGCTTATGAGTACTCTGAAAAATGAATATAAAAGATGTAAACTACCGATACTATTGAACTGTGCAAATACATATATTTGAGTTCTTATAACTTTTACAACTCATGGAATATACTCAGCAGATTACAAGGAAATTCAGTATGGGGTTGCCATCTATTATTTCCGAGATTGTCATTCAGATATTTAGAAGATCAAATATATAAATATACTATAGAATACAAGTTTGCAATGTGGATGCTTATGTGTACTTAAAATATGGAAACAAAGATATAAAATATTAGTATTAAATATTACATAAAAACAAACACTAACAATAGTATTTAATTCAAATAATCATAAATTTAATTTCAATATTTTAAAATGTTAATTTGGGTAGTCCACATACAACCCTATACAATTTACAATTGAGGATCAAACCTTACAAAATTTGAGTTTCTTGAATGAAATACATATATTGAAACTTGACAACCAATAGACACACTAAGTTTAAATTTGAAAATCTTACTACAAATATAAAATTATCATTCTTGAAAAGGTGAATGAATTTCGACTTGTAAGAAATAACAAAAACAAAGTGCAAGAGAGAAGATGTGCTAGACAAATAATGAGGTGTAGAGTCATCCACTCATTTAAAATGTAGTGCTTTATCTTATTAGTATCTAATGCTTTTTAATTTTGTTTGGTCTTAGAAGTTCATTGCCCCAGAGCATTATGCAATTCTACAATGTTCCATTTTGGTAATATAAATTCACATTTTATCAAAAAAAAAAATGTATTGCTTATAAATAAGTTTTAACATTTTTGTAAGAAGATTGTAATGAATTTCTTAATACGTAGCATTAAAAATCTTCAGTTCAACCCAAAGAGAGATTTCTCTAACAGCACAAAAGAATACTTCCATCTCTTCTGTGTTAAACAACCATTTATAATAATTTTCAGCTTGTCTAACATGTTAAGACTCCACAATGAACAAATGTGTGAGTTTCTCCATAGTGACAAGATTCTCTATCTTACAAATTAAAGAAAAGAGAAAAAGGAGAGAAGAAATCTACAATTTTGTCGAATTGTGGAGGTTGTATGCGACGGCTAGTAGGTTTTCTTGAAGATGAGTTAAAAGAGTCTATGAAAGATGAGTTAGAATTGTTGTTGGCCATGATTGATGAGATGATGTCTTGTAGTGATCTTGGCGAAACATATTCATTATTATTATTGATTTACAACATTGAAAAGTTATCTGGTTCTTATTTTGACAATAACATGATGTAAATAGAATTCATTAAACATGATATTAAAACAATTATGATGCATACATATACAAAGTTGAAAAAAAAACATATGTTTTTAACTGACATATACAATTTAATGATATATGTATATTTTGAAATGAAAATAACTAATTTATTTTTTTTGAAAGTTAATCTCACTAAATATTAAAATATCAACAAAGTTTTCTCATAAATGAGTTATCTATAGATTTTCTGGAATTAGTATTCCCTATGGTAGTCTTGATTTTTTTGTTTTTTACTTAAACAAATTATATGAGTTGCATACTTATGTTAATAATGAATTCTAATTTAATAAAATTGGATTGCTAGGATTTGTTATCATAACTTATATTTGTATTTTGTATCTATAAGAGATTGTTGTAATTGGATTACATGTTTTCAATTATTTCTCTTTACAAAACCTTTTATGTTTCATTTTATTTCAAATAATCATCTATTAAATTGCATATTGTTTATTATAAATATTCATTTTACATCTACTTACATGTAACTTATTACAAATAATGAAATAAAATATATTTTTTACAATCATTTGCATCGATTTAACATGCATGTCTTTTATATTTTAAATAATTTTATTTTGTGAAAAATGTGTAACAGATGTAATAGTTAATGTAATAGCAAGTAGATATTAGTAGAGCATCTCCAACCCATTTCTCCATTTTTTTTGAATAAATAGAGTGACTTTATTTTGATATTGTGTTTTTATCCAACTCTACTTTAATTTTGAATTTGAAAATGAAAATCTCCATATTTGAGTGTAAATTGAAAATAAAGAACTCCAAAATATAGAGAACATTGGATATTTCTATTTTGTAGTTAGAAATGAAGATGCATTGGAAAAATCTTACTCCAAAATAGAGGTTGGAGATGGTCATTGTTAAGAGTTTATCTCTGTTTATTTGATATCTTTAGTGTTTGTAGTAAAAACAAATTGTTTTAAAGAAATAAGTAATCATACGAAATATTTTTTCTATCTTATGTCGATGAAAAGTTATTGATAATTTCAAAGTTTAATTCTCTAAAATTTTATTTTGAATGCATAAAATTGCTAGATCATTTTACCCTCAGTAAGACGTAAATGATTGAAATAATCTTACAACAATTTCAACTATATATATGAGAAACAATTACAAAAATTAACCCTTTGAATTCAATTTACTCGAATAAAAAGAGAAAGCCAATAACATAAAATGATTGGTTCATATCTCGGTTTATACCAAAGATAAAACATATGACGAAAGCAATAATCTCTTCTCGGCAAAGAGAGGTTTTCCAAGCAAGAGATGTAATCACCATCATCATCATCAGGAAGAAACATCACCTTATTTTTGAAAAACAAAAAAAATCCATGACTTAAATGCAACCTCAGTCATAGATCACATAGATTCACCATCTCAATGTGGTTGTCCATTCGTCCTCTAGGTATTAATGTCCGATCAAGCTTATTGACATAATTCGTTGTGAACACTATCATCTCCTTACCATTACAACACCCATCAATAGTATTTAATAAACCGGACAAAGTAACGTTTCTCTCTTTCGGATCAACTCTTTCTTTCTTCAACCTCTTCTCGACTTCTTTAGTCTCCTCTTCTTCCTCATTTTTGTCCCTTCTCTGTCCCGTAAGATCAAGCGAACAATCAATATCTTCAATCACATCAATAGACTTCCTTGTTGTGTCCAACATTAGTTTGTTCAACTTAGAGTTATCCTTCACCGTGGTCAATTCAAGATCATACACATCATACTCCAAGAAACTAGCCATTGCAGTTATCATTTTCGATTTCCCAGTCCCAGGCGAACCAAGAGATAACCGCGCTTCCATGGCTTCCCAACTTTCTTTTAATAATATTTTCCTTTAGTAAACCTAATTAAATCCTTCTCAATCCCTTCTTTCTTCCACGGATCCATAGCCAAAGTCTCGAACGTTGCAGGGTCACCAAAAGGAACGTTGCTATATCCTTCCCTTTGGCCAAGAGGAATAATCTTGACTTGAACTATCAGTGTAAAGTGAACTATCTCTCTGTTCTTTAACCCAATCTCTTTTCCTTCTTTCGAAACATGATCTAGATAAGTATTTTTGATAATCTCTCTATGCCGATTGTGGAAACTAGTCAAGTACCTACTCTTGTTCGAGTCAGATTGATTCTCCGCACACTTTAAGACCACTTCACCTTCACACCTTGAACACACCTTCAACTGCCCCATGGTCGTCCAAACTAATTTACCAACGAGGTTGGCCATTAGTCTCTTTGCAAAAGCCATTGATTTTGAGGATAAGTAGTTGCGTATCGCATCATAGGCTTGGTTTCTCTCGAGACCGTCTCTTGTGTATTTAGTGAATTTGATGTGAACAGAATTCTAGACCAAACGGATCATCTTGTAAAAGCACTTCTCCAAATAGGCTTGGTGTTGGTATAGCACAAACTGTTTGTACATTGACCAGAAGAACATAAGACTTGACATCGTCGTGCCTGTTAAACTCCAAATCAGTCCCTCAAGCATCTTTGTGTTTGTTTGATTCTCTTATCAGGATAGTTTAGTCTTTAGGGCTTTTCAGTCTTGTAGGATCTTACGTAGGCTTGTTCATGCCATCGTGTAAACTTGAGAGAGCCACTTAATTCTTGTTAGAGAAAAGATTTGGATAATGAATAAATAGAGAAAATCTTATTAAATAAGGTTGAAAGCCTTTCACAATAACATTGTCGCATAGAGTTATAACCATTTTGTAAGATTTTGATATCACGACAACAATGATTAGAACTTGGCGACCTTGGAACCAGCCAATCCACGACTGAATTTGGTTCTGTAATCCGTTGGCAACATTGATTGCTTATTTGCTGAAGCAAATATCAGTAATGGTCAAGTCCCGCTCACGGAACGACTAAGGCGAATACATATTAAAAGCACATGTAAGAAATCGATACCGGCTTCACTTAGTGAGGCAGTTTACCCCACACATCCCCACCATAATACATCATCGGTCTTTCTGTTAAATTAGATAAATACAAAATCAAGGTGGGGACATAGGTATATCATATTTCGGGGCGAAAAAATGATCATATACCAGACAATCGCAAATATTTAAGTGTATATTTGTATACAACTTTCCTTACAAGTCTTAAACTCACCAGACAAATCGATCGATGGGTCATTGTATAGATGCATTGCAGCTGCCCAACCTATAATCAGGATAGTAAAGTGCTTTAAAATGAGACACAACACATATACAAATCAAGTACTTGCATTAAAGATGGCACTATAACTAACTCTGCTAGAATCAGAAACTGAAACTTGCTTGATTTCTCACTGAATCGTAAAACACAAACCGAATGAAAGAACAATATAAAAACCTAAATCAAAGAAATCATAACCAAGGGTGAATTATAGAGACTCTCAATATCCTAATTCCTAAACCAGACTCAATTACTCGACCCGTTGCGACGGCATCTCATAATGTTTAGCATGAGTATTCGATATTACTCTTGTCAATCTCCTGATTCATTCTATTTTAAGCGTAGTACACAAGTGGCACATGAATACTCCACTTGTATCTAGTCGAGTTAAAAGATATCGATGTAAAAGCAAGGCTTCCGTAATTTATTAGAGAACTAGCAGACAGTGAGATTAAAAACAGAAGCCATAATATAATCAAACACTTAAATTCAGAATACATACGATCACTGAGAAGCTGAAAAGCTTCACTCCTAGAGCAGCCCTCTAGAGATATAATCTTTGGAGAAGAGTTTTCCCTCTGGAAACCAACAGCAACAGGCTGACTGCTCTCGCCCTCATTACTATGGAAGCTTCCTGTTCGATTCAAATTCAGCTCAATTTACCCTTACTTTAATCAAGAACACACATTACAAGCAAAAGTGGTTGAAGCTTCTATTAGTTGCTAACTAAATTCTTAAAAAGGGCTCTTTTACATGCAAAGAGAATGCAATTTTTCCTGAGAAACTCCATATTTATCAATACAGTGACTGCAAAATCATCACAAAATCTGTATTACAGGTTGAGCAATTATCTTTCAAAATGTTTCTTTAAGTTCACCAAATACAGATAAAGCAACTTGTTTACAGATATCAAATTCTACAAAGTGAACCAGTGTCTCTCTACACAAATGAGATAAGCTCTATTCCTCTAAATTCGCTATTCTAATTGAGAAGAGAGAATCTACGAACCTCTTGATCTCCTCCGGTTCGAAGAACGGTTCCTGTGAGCGAGGCAGAGAAGGAATCTGAGAAATCAATCGAAAGCAAAGGAGGAGAAGGAGAAGAAGAGACGTAACCTTTGGTTAGGTGGAGTGTATCGTTTAGGTGCGGAGGTTGAATCCACCATAGAAGATGAGTTTGGCTTCTGCATCGATCTGTGTCAGCTTCAATATCTCTGCACCGAGGTCGTAGAAAGAAAACTCTCTAATCTTCACGCGCTAAATCTTTAGCGCGTGCTTGTCTAAAACAATTGATGATTTGGTTCATGGAAGATTGAGCAAACCGGGTTAAAGAATTTTCGAAATTTGAAAATTGGATTAAGTTTGGTCAAGTAAACTTTAAAATTAGTTTCGATTGTTGTTTAATGATTCCTCAAACACAGTCAATGTATATAAGAGGTCAACATAATAAATCCCTTAATGATTCTTATTTTTGAAGTCAGTCATCATATGAATCTAAACATGTGGTGCCACTAAGATCAGGCTGTGATCAAAGCCAGCGACTGCTTGAAGAACACAACCCTCTATGTCCTCTAACAACATTGGTTCAGGCTCATCGCTCGAGCTTCCTAAACCGAGCCTACCATTCTTCCCACAACCCCAAACCCAAGCTTCTCCTTTCTCTGTTACACACAAGGAATGCACACGCCCTGCTGATACTGAAGCTGGACTTTCCCCATCAAAACCTTCTACTTCTCTTGGCAGGTGTTCCGGTTCTCCCCTACCAAGCTGCCGGCTACGGTTCCAACCCCATGAGAGAATCTTTCTTTCATCTCTGTTGCAGATAGCTAGTGAATGACCAAGACCAGCTGCAATAGAGATCGGGGATTCGGTTATGTCAACAGGTGTCATTCCGAGGTCTTGTTTAGACCGACCCAACTGACCATAGATGTTGCTCCCAGAGCTCAAAAGTGTGCCATCATCTGAAATTAGCAAAAACCTATCAGACACTCTCTTTGTTTAATAAATATTTTTCCCATAGTGTAAAAGGGTCTCGTTTACTTACGACAAAGGATCAAGGAGTGATCAGAACCGCAGGCAATATCTGCTACCTTCACGTTACGTGTTTCTTCCACCAGACGAGGTTCCCACGCTATTGGCATATCGTTCTCCTTGCTCATTGCTTCCACAACCTTCTTTTCCGCTGCTTCAAGATTCAAATCTGCAGCGTGTTGACCTTTCATCGACCCATCTGTAATTGAATCTAACAGAGATGCTTCAAGTGGAAGTCCAACATTGCCTACTCTTCCATCAGCTACATAACCCCATCCAAAAACTTTACCATCCACAGTAAGCGCAAGTGCGTGCCCCCAACCTAATGATACCTATCAAAATGAACCCCCCTTCCTATGAAAAACTCAAGAGCGTTTTAAATCTGATTATACAAAGAGTTGGTACCAAACCTTAACGACGTGCTCTGCAGCTAAAGTTTCAACTCTCGAAGGAACTCGAGCTTCAATGATACCTTTTCCAAGCCCAAGCTGTCCTCTTTTAGATCTTCCCCAAACCCACAAAGAGCCATCATCTCCAATAGCAGCTGAAACAACTCCAGACGCAAACGCTGCCCGGACATTCACATTATCTAGACCTTCCACTTTCTTCGGTTCACTCCTTGAATCTCTACTAATTACATCAATAAAACATCAGGTATAGTAGCATAAGAGACCTACCAAATCCCAAATAACATCATGACTAGCAAATTCATGTTCTAGCTCCACCTCTAATGCTATAGTTAAATCTTAAACTAATCTCACTAATTAACCTATCAATTTCAAGTTCAATCACTACTTTACTTTGATGAAATCAATTCAGCAAAATTGGGTTCTCAGGTTTAACTATCATTCAGCAAAATTGGGTTCTCAGATTTAACCTAGAATCAATTGCGATTCGACCGAGCTGGCCTTCATCGTTGCGACCCCAAGCCCAAATCACACCGCCAGATGTAACGGCAAGAGAATGATAGTGTCCGGCGGATATGAAAGAGATATCGGAAGGCAAATTAGAAACAACGGTGGGTTCGTAAGCATCCATTCCCATGCCTGGAATCGACGATGATGATGAGAGACCAAGAGCGCCATGGCTTCCGTCACCGAAGCTCATCACTGTTCTTCTTTCGCCGCTAGTGCTCGTGAATTGTCGTCTGACAACTCCATTGAAGAGAACGTCTCTGCAAAAGCGGGATTCGGAGGTAGAAACTTTCCTGATTTGTAGTTTCGCGATCGACCATAATCGAATCATATCGCCGGAGAAATTGAAGCGAAGGAGAAAGAAAAGTTTTCATGATTCCGGCATTTTGAGATGAGTCGGATGGTTCATTCGATGAAAAATATATTTTTTCAAGAGAAACCGACAAAAGTGACAAGAAAAAAACATTGTTGATGTGTGATTTAGTGCTCTTTCACCCAAGCATGTGAATTTCGGCCACTAAAAAATTCTGGCCACCCAAGCTCGTGCTTAAAATTATCCAAAAAATTGGGTTTTTTTTTGGATATACGGTAGAACCTCTATCAATTAATACTGGATAAATTAATAACTACGATAAATTAATAAATTTTATCGGTTCCGAGTCGGGTCAATGTAAAAATTAACTAAATTCGATAAGATAATAAGATAATAATTTTTTTGAAATCTTTATATAAAAATGTGGTCCCAATAATATCATAAATTAATAGGGGGATTAGCAAAAATACCCCTTTTCTCATGCCCCTTTTCAAAAATGCCCCTTTTAGATGTCCATTTTCAAAAATGCCCCTTTTTAAATCTGAAATTTTCATAAAGTTTTATTAGGTTTATAAGGTACTTATGGATTGTAACTACTACTTGAAGACTCGATCCAAGTATTTATAAGGTTTTATAAGGTGTTTTTAAAGGTTTTACAAGTTATTTTAAAGGATTTTTAAGGTTTTTCAAAGGTTTTACAAGATATTTTAAAGGTTTTTAAAGGTATTTAAAATGCATTTATAAGGTATTTATAAAGTATTTATAAGATTTTAGATACATAGAAATGTAGTTTGTGTATGTTTTAATAATATTACATACATATTTGGGTAAATCTTATATTTTTAAGGGCATTTTTTATAAGGTTTTAAAAAAGGGGTATTTTTGAAAAGTGGCATTGAAAAAGTGGCATTATTAACAATTTCCCAAATTAATAATCATATATATGTATATATATTTCATAAAAATAGCCAAAATTTGCTCTAAATTTTCAAATTTTGAATATGTATTATTTTTGTTTTAATAGTCGTATAGGTTTTTCAAATATAACTATAGATGTCATTATTTATAAATTTTAATTTATGTATATCGTTTATATATGTAAATTCTATAATCTTTATTATTGTCAAAAAATTGTTTTTCTTCGAAATATCAAATATTTAAATCTAAAACTATAAAAATTATAATATCCAAAATATTAATTTAATTTAGATCACATTTTTTCCTCATATTTTCTTAAAAATATATTTAACAATTAAAACAAAACTTTCTATAAATTAATAAATATTAATTTACACTATAAATTAATAAATATCACTATAAATTAATAAAATATCATGGTCCCAACATTATTAATTTAAATGGGACATGTTTTTCTATTTCCAAAATTTCCGTTTCCATCCTCTTCCGTCCCGTTCCCGTTCCGTATTTAAAATGGGACACAAATATGAGATGTTTTTCTATTCCTAAAATTCCCGTTCCCGTCCTGATCTAAAAAGTTCTCGTTTGCCCACCCCTACATACCATAGCTGAAATTGTTAAAATTAAAATTTGTTAACAGTTTGTTTTATTACGGCAAAAAGTTGTCAACAACCATACATATTATTTTGTATAATTAATATAACTAGAAAATTATATATTTTTTGGCAGAAAATGATCTAAAATCGCCAATTTAAAGCCTTTAAATTTAATAAATTAATTGGATAGAAGTATCCTTCAATTATACAAACGAAAAGTAGCACTACGTCAAAAGTAGCCGTTGCCATTATTTCTTTGAATGAAACTGCCACTTCTATCTTCTTCTGATTTCTTTTTTCTCAGCTCCCCCAAACAATTTCACAACCATGTCCAAGACAAGAAGAACCAATATGAAACGCCATGGCCCATGGCGCATCTTCAGACTCGCGTCAGATCTCCTATCTGTAAAAACTTCATTGAGATATTGATCAGAGTGATGGTTAATTACAGTGTTAGTTACATAACCTATGTTGGTACATCTCACCAAGCAAATTTTTTGTTGGTATAAGTAAAAATACATTATTTTAGTTGGGATATGTAACCATGTGACATATCATAATTGGTATATCTGTCAATATATCTCCCAACTGTTATCTCTAAACAGATAATTGACTTTGCTTTCAAATGACCAATAAATTTTAAACTTGTACGGCTGTAAACTTTTTTAAATCTATATAATGAGGAAAGATCGGCAAGTTATCATAAAAAAGAGGGAAAGATCAGCAACTACACATATGATTAATGTCCATGACGCCATTTCCAATTCAAAGCCTTTGGCAAAAAAAAACTTGGAAAGATTATTCAACTATTTTGTTGACGTAGAGAACGTGTGGTGCATAAACACTAATACTTAACTCTTGTAATATTGTAGTGCTAGTATTCATTGTCGTCAAAATAATCATCTCATATCTCTCGTTGTGATCAAAAAATCTCTCAGCTTCTCTATGGATTCGAACTCGAATCCCGAGTCAAAGCTCAAATCACTCATCTTTCAAATCTATAGTCTGAGCGAGAGTTTGAATTCGGATTCATGTTTCGATCCGGAATGGGATTCTATTTCTAAGATGATACCACTCATTACTCAAACAATCTCTCTGGTCAGCTCAATGGATTTCGATTCGCAGCCGGGGTCGAAGCTCATGTCACTCACTAATGAAGCAATCTATGTCTTCAATTCTATGGATTTGGATTCCCAGCCAGATCCGTTAAGGAAGCTCATATCTTTCTTTTCTCAAAAACTCTCTCTCATCAACTCTACGGATTTTATTTCGGAGCAGGACACGAATTCAGAGCCAGACTTGGAGTTTTTCATGTTACTCATTCGAGAATTATTTAGTCTAACACCTCAGCCAGAGCTTATATCACTCATCAGTCAAATAATTTCTGAAGTCGTCTGTTGGCAGCCACAGCCAGAGTTAGTGCCTGATTTGGAGGCGGAGCCAGAGCCGGAGCCGGAGTTGGAGCCGGAGCTGAAAATCATATCTCTCATTACTCAACTAATCTCCCAACCTATATCTTTATCGCTTAAGATATCTCTCATTCCTCAAATAATCACTATGGTCAGTAAAATGGATTTTGATTCGCAGCCGGAGACAGAGTTGATATCACTCATTACTCAAGCAGTCTTGCTCTTCAAGTCTATGGATTTGGATTCCCAGCCGGATCCGCTAAGCAATCTCATATCTCTCATTTCTCAAGAAATCCCTTATGTCAAAACTATCAGCGTTTTGAAGCGGGAGCAGGACCCTGAATTGTTTCATTTTGCTGAAAGTTTAGGAATGGAGTCAGGGCCGATACTCCCACGGAGCAGATTTCGAAATTTCAATCCCGAAACAGATACGGGGACAAAGTTCTTGGAAATGGATTCGAACTCGGGCACAGATTTGGATACAGAGCTTTTGGAGCTGGTTTCGAACCCGGACACAGATTCTGACCTCATGTCCCCCATTTATAGAGGAATCAGTCTTGATTCCGACTTCATGTCCCTCGTTGGTGAAACATTGAGTCTTGATTCCGACTTCATGTCCCTCGTTAGTGAAATATTGAGTCTCGAGCCGGAGCCGGAGTTCATATCACTCATCTATCAAATATTCTCACTCGTCATCTCTATGAATTCAAAGTGGGAAAAGCTTATTGTCCTATGCCCTCAAACACAAGTAAAATTAGAAAAAGGAACATTTCATGTGATTGAAGAAGTCTCGTGGAGCAGCAATGACAAGTGGAAGTGTCTCCCTTTAAACTGGAATGAATTCTGTTTATCAGAAGAAGACGTTAGCCATATTCGCTGCCAAACTTGCAACGGCGAGAACCATGGAGAATATGACAAGGCTCCAACTGTGATCAAACACGATCTCCATCCCAAACATTCTCTCGAGCTTGTCTTGTTGAATGGGGACACAACTAGGGAATGTTATTGCTGCGATAAAGATCTCGAAGAGGTATTTTATTATTGCTCGGCTTGTGATTATGCTATGAATATTGCTTGCGTAGAGAAACCAAGAGTCTTGTCTTTGGAGCAACCGAAGTGGCATGAGCATACACTTGCTCAGTTTCCAAGAAAGACTTCTTTAACTTGCAATATATGTGCCTTGACTCATTCAAGCTGTCCCTTTTATATATGTCCCCCTTGCGACTTTGTGGTCCACCAAAAGTGTATCAGCTTACCACGTGTCATAAGGATATCTCGTCATTTCCATCGTATCTATTTTACTCATTCTTTTGACGAAGGAGTTCGATGTTGTGGTGTTTGTCGTAGAAAGATCGACAATGATTATGGCGGCTATTCTTGCAACAAGGACGGTTGTTCGTATGCAGCACATTCAAAATGTGCCACACAGAGCAATGTGTGGGATGGTAAAGAACTTGAGGGAGAGCCCGAAGAAGACATCAAAGAAATTGAGCCGTTTGTGACAGTAAGAGATGGAATCATACGACATTTCAGTCATGAACATCATCATTTGAAACTTGATGAGAACACGGGGAGAGATTACGACGAGAATAAGTTGTGTAAAGCATGCATCACTCCGATCTATTTTGGTAACTTCTACTCATGTATGCAATGTGATTTCATTCTTCACGAAGACTGTGCAAAACTGTCTCGCAAAATACATCACCCAGTACATCCACATCTGCTTACTCTAGTGGGAAGATCTGACCTTGTAATGGATGCTACAAAATCATGTTCAATTTGTTCTTGGAGGTGCACAACTGGTTTCTTCTATGAGTGCACTGAAAGAGAATGTCGTTTTAAGGTACACGTGCAGTGCGCCACAATTTCTGAGCCATTGGTCCATGAAAGTCATATGGATCCTTTGTTCTTAACATCGAAACCAGGAGAGGAAAGAAGATGTTGTGTTTGCAAAGAGTTAGGACATTGTTCCACAAATGAAACATTCAATTGCATTGAGTGCGACTTTGCTTTGTGTTTCAAGTGTGCTACTTTACCTCAAAAGGTGAGGTATAAGCATGATAAGCATGTGCTTACTCTTTCTTATGGAGAGAAAACAAGTTCCATGACGTATTGGTGTGAAGTTTGCGAGAAAAA